CCCCCACCCCCTGCACCCTCCCCAGACCCCACTCACTACCCACCTTTCCCCTCTTACTTGTGGTTGCCTGTGTTGTCTGTCCCAGGGGGCAGGCAGGGAAGGCAAGAGGAAACCCCAAGGAGCAGGGGGAACACCTGGGGAGCCCATGGGGAGATGGGGGAGAGGGCAAGGGAGAAGCCCAGGATGGGTGTGGGGGAGGAAGGCTGGTCCTTACTCTTCAGTCCTCCAGGCCTCTACTGGCTTGAAGTGTGACTGATCCAAACTCGAACCAGCACTAACACCCATCAACATTTGTGAGGCTCACATCCTAACATGCAACAAGACCCTGAGCCAAAAATCCTTCTCCGATTGTCCCCCACCTGCACAGCTGTGACTTGCCACTAGAGGGCTAGTGAGCAAGGGCCTGGCTAGTGGTGACAGGGGTAAATTGCCACTGCAGGGCTGGACAGGCTTCTGCCCCTGCTGTAGATGGGGGTGAGAGAGAGAGGGGTCAATGGTGGGGCAGGAACATGAAGCTGGGATGCAAAACATTAATGGGATGGGAGTGGGTAATGAAATAGGAGGAGGAAAGGGAACGGAAGTGGGGGAAATGTGGTGAAATGAAGGAAGTCAGCCACTGAAGGATAAAATAAAAGGAAGTTAAAAAAAATGTAAACAGAAATAAAGAGGAAGTAAATTAAAGAAGGACTCAAGTTTTAAATAACTCAGATTTGGGATTGGGGTGGGTGCTGGTCATGCTTTCCGAGGTGGCTGGGAGGTGGGAAATAGTGAGGGAAGGTGCTTTTGGGGGAGCTACTTCCCCTGCCCCAGGAAGGAAGCCCCAGCTTGTGGGGACCTGATCCAGTCCCCTACCTTGTTCTCCTTTACCTCCACCCCCAGGCCTCACTTCTGGAGCCATCTGAGCCCTGCGATCTCTCTAGCTGACATGTGCTCTGCAGGCTGCCTGTACAGGGTTGTACCCCTGGAAGTGGGAAGGGCACACCCTTGGGGGCGGAAGGGGGAACTGGCTCTCTGCCAGAACCACTCCCCCAGGGCAGTAGAGTTCAGGGGGTGGAAAGGTTGTCCACACAGAACAGGAGGGTGGGGATGGGAACACTGCATCTTGGGATGCTGGAGGACTGCAGTTTAGGCAGTTCATCTGTGGGGAGTGGCCACACATTAATGAAATACAAGCTGGGTAACACAGATCAGAGAAACCTTTCCTGAAGTTGCATAACTTTAAGCTGCCTAAAGTGTGCTTAAAACTGGTTTCAGGTATTGTGTGGACAATCCAGGGGTGGAGAGCTCCAGAAGCCACTTAAAATTAATGTGTAACAAAGGCCTTAATATAATTCAGGTGAATAGGAAAGCATTTCTTGGGGGTTTTGTGTGAATTTTCCAGGGATATAAGTATTTGTGTTGCATTAAATAGACCATTGCCTATATATTAAATGCCAGAATGTCCCAAACAAAAAGGGAAATTAAATTCATCCTAGAAACTTAAAAAAGTTCAAGGATGGAAGCAGAGTCCCTTGTTGGCCAGTGTCACTGGAACTGTTCTGTTGGCTCAGTGGTGTGATATTTACATAAAATATAATATATTCAGCCTGCCGATCTGACCTTTACAGAACAGCAGAACAGACACTTCCTGTTTCCAGTTCAGGCAGCTCACTAATGGACTGAGAGAGACAAACCATTGTAAAAAAAAAAAAAAAAAAAAATTTGTCTTTTGGCCCAGAGCTTGGGTATTTACAAGACAAAGTAAGTCATAAAACTGTGACTCCAGTGAAGGGGAGACTAGAATCTGACCTTAAGTTTGGTACTAGGCTTCTAAGATAATACCCCCTCACCCCCACATCTCTCCAGGGTATGCTGACTTTTGTTCAAAATGTTCAGTTGCCAGGAAAAATGGAAGTACAAGGAGAAAATATAGGCGTTAACAAGAGACTGTGCTACCATTGTGCAAAGGTAATGTTGCCTATGAGCTGCTGAGGTAGTGGTGTGAAGGGAGAAGCTTAAGATTATGCTAGATGGAGCCTTTGGGGGGTGAAATATATAGTAGTATATACGAGTGAATTTTCTTTTTTGCCAAAGGTAGATAAGTGGTTCAGGAGCCTTTATATGCTTTCTTATTAATGCAGGTAGTAAATGCACACCCAGTGGATTTCAATACAGTATAAACACCACTTTGTAAGCCTCTTGGGATGGGGACCTCTTCTCTGTGCTTTGAAAAACAGATGGTAAGTTCTTCTTTATGAGCTACATGCCATCTGCCAACCTTATGGATAAATGGCCATTAAACTTGTCATTTCCAGTCAAAAACCTTTTTTTCCCAATTCTAGCAACAAATTAAAGGCATCTGAAACCACAAAACTTTTTATTTTGGGCTTTAATGAAAGACCAAAAGTGACCAGCTTAAAACAAGAAGAAAATCCATTTGGTCTCTTATTTTATTTTTTTTACACAATGTGTCAAAAACGCTTTCAAGCCCAAATAGATCTATTATGAAATGTAAACGACAAGTAACAACTTCCTAAAAATAGGATATAACCTTTTATAATTTCATCCTTCTCCACCCCCTGTACTGGCCAAAGCCACCACGCCCACACACAACTGCCTTATGTCTTTCTCTCATCTCTCACTTCCACAAAAAGGCCTTCCATCAGGGTAGTTTTGCCTCTTTAAACTTCAAATGATCTTAAATGGCTTTATGTTTATGACTACAGGCACCTGCACATAAACATACACATTACCCATGGAAGAGATGTCATCATATCCTTGCTGTATATATAAGGATCAGGTCTTCTGGAAAATTAGGGTTTTTTTGGGCCAAGTTAACTCAAAGCGTAAACAATAAGACAAATCTACATCTGCTCATTTCCAGCTTTCCATTGCTCAGCTGATGAATTTTCATTTGCTATTCTGGGAGTGTAGTCTTCAGTTCTCTTAGTGGGGTTTCATTGTCAACCTGAGTCCACTGGGAACCCTGAACAACTTCTCCCATTGTCTGTTGTCTTGTAAGCATAGTTATAATATTAAAAATATATATATTAGGGACGGGCAATGAATCACTGAAGGAAAAACTGCAGGTAGCTCAAAAATTGGTTTGGGAACATCAGAACAGAGACTAGGAAGACACTTCCCAAGTCACGGTCCAGCCCCCTACGTTTACAGGCAGGCATGTAATAAATTTACAACCAGGTAATAATACATTTCAGTACCCTGCAGTAGTAGACTTTTGGGGTAGAGAGAGACTACTACCACTTTTACTATAGTGTCCATTACGATAGCATTTTGGTGCATTAGACTTATTGGCTGTGTCCAGACAAGCGTGGATGTTTGGTTCCCCGGGGACAAGCAGTGGCAGTACAAGGTGAGCCGCCACTACTTGTCCCCAGGGAATGCCCATGCCACCGTTCTTTGGCATGCAGCAAGTTACCCCAGGTGGGCTGGGGGAGGCTGGGGCCAGCGCTGGGGCATGTTGAGTCAGGTTGGAGCATCTCCAGTCCAAGCTGACTCCCAGGGCTCCCGCCAGGCAGGGCTGCTTTACCCTGGCACCCTGGCTTGTCATGCTGCAGTCCCAGGCCCACTAGTCCCAGGAGCAATAAACTCTGCTGTGCACTGCAGCAGAGTTTACTCAGGTGTATTACTAGCACCTACCATTACACAGATGGCATTGCACCTGCTAATAGCAAGGTTTCAGAGTTTGCCCAGTTTCAGGCTTTTAACTAATTGGTGGTGAGTGGCCAGATCAGATACTGATGACTGTGGTTAATGTTGTGTGGGGAAAAGGTGGCAGGTCTAACTGTCCCATTGGTATAAGCCTTTTTAGCTGTTCTCTTTTTACAGTCATGCTCATACTTTCTCATCTCAACTCTATCGCCTCCTTTGAGCCTTCTGCTAGTAGGGTCTGCAGCCCCATGATGCTGCTGATCAATGTCCCACTTGCCTGCCTGCCCTGGCCTAAATTCCACAGCCTTCTTGTCTAATGCCAAGCTGATAAAATATTCTGGCTTTTAGTTTTCAGACACTTCTCGCGCAGGGTAGAAGCAAGACATTTCACCCGACAATCACAACAGATCTGTGGGCCTGATGTCAATGGCTGCAGTAAATTCACTGGAGTTGAACGTACAGAAGGTACTGTCCTGCATAGCATGGGTTAGCTCTGGGGAAGAAAACAAAGGAAAGGAAAAAAGCACTGGCTGCTAGCACAGCAGCAGTATCTATTGGGGTGGCAAGCAGTGAGCACAGCATGAACAGGTTCCACAACTGAAGGAGAGAATAGATGGATGGTTGGATCTGAGCTGCTCTGTTGCTGTACCTCGGTTTGTGGCTGATGGCAACAGGGACAACAGTTTTGTGTGTGGAGTTCTTTATAACATATTTGTTCATGTGCTCTAATTTGCATCTCCTCTTTCAAACACATGACATCCCCAGCCAAATGCTGCTCACAGTTACATTCAGTGCAACTCCATCAGAGGCTGAGACTAGAATTGGCTTTTCTTTTGATATAGGCCTTTAGGATTCTGGAGTCTAAATATTGACAGCTTAAGAGCACATTAACTAAGGTGGTTTGTGATGCTTCAGAGGGATGAGTTTGAGCCTTGCTCCAGACTTGCAACAAAGCTATCCCCGTTTGACTTAACTGTAAACTGATACTTGAATGCTTGGTCACAGATGGCCTAATATAACACCAGCCACATCATTTGCTTGTAGGCCACTGGGATGGAAGCTGTTATGCCTTAGCCTTGAGAGCTTGATGGGCCCACAACCTTAGCCATACCTTTGGCCTTTTGAATTTACACGTTAAAGGGCATGAACATCACTATGGTGCAAGATAGCAGATGTCTACACTTTTTCCACAGTGGGACTTCATGCCCAAACATAGCAACTACTGGAAAACACGGGAAACCATCCTCTTCTAAGCCACATTACATCCAATTAGATCTAAATATAGCAATGGAAGGGTGCATTCGGTGTCATTGTCTCCATGCATGCCAGCTAGCTTCAGGTTCTCTTCCCACCCCACACTAGCATCCAGAACAAAGCAGACGAGCCTTATTAGCAGAATTCACTGCTCGCAGCCAACTTCTCCTCGATTTCAGGCAGAAAAATCCTGATGGCTCCAAAGCGGAGGAAGACAGAATCAAGTGAAGTCATAAGTGTGACAGACAAAAGCAGTATAAAAGATAGTTGTTTTCAAAGACTAAGAAAATAGAGGGGAAACACTTAAGAGGCAGAGAGGAAGTTCAGAAGCAGCTGTGGCCTCTACTGTTCGTCCCTGACATGCCTCCTCCCACACCCCACCGGGGATGTTTAGGTTGAGAGAGAAGCTTTCTCTTTATTTTTAACACGACTGGCGCTCTACTGCCCTCGGTGAAACATTCAACTTTTCCTGTCACACCCCAGAGCCCTCTAAGCCCAGTTTATCCTGGCACACGATCTGATATCCCGCCCAGCACCCTTGTTTGATGCAGTGGGAGAATAATCCTGGAACGTGCTTGTCATTTCCATTGTTTTGGAAAGAAGGAACTGACTTCAGCCCCTTGAGCGCTCCCCTCCCGTCCTGCCCCATGTTTCCTACTCTGCCCTCACCCTGTTTTCTGTCTGCTTTCGTGCCTGTTCCTCTAGGAAGAGAAAAAGCAACCATTCCAAAAACATGATTTAAAGTTACTCGAGAGCCTGCAAAGGTTGTACTGCCCCTTGTTTTCCAAAGAGAAAAAGGTGTCGCAGAAGCCTTCGCTGGAAGAATAGATTGTTAGTTACAACAACAGTGGAACATTCGTGGGTGTCCGGGTGGGTGACTCAGTCTAAAGAGGTGGCACCACAGAAACATCAGTGATAAACAAGACAGGCTCCCAACAACATGTCTATTTGGAGACTGGAGCTTTCCCACCTAACCAAAGCCAGGCCCAGCCCCATTGCCCAATGCTATGTGTTCAGCTGTGAGATATCTCTTCCAGACCTTTTCTTGTAATGTTGCTTCTTGACATCAATGACCTGCTCAAACTGTAGGCAAGCATTGCATGTGATTTTCCTCCCTCACTCCATCTGAAACTGCAGGCACCCCTGCAAAAATACAAACTGCTGTAAAGGATAAGCACGTGACTTGGAGTCAAGGCTCAGTTCCTTGCTGTCTCCCACAGACTTTGTAACAAGCACCTTTGGCTCTATGTGCCTCAGTTCCCCAACCTGTAAATGGCTGGAATAACACTTCCTTTGCCCTTGTTGTCCATTTAGAATTATTTGTAGATCTCTCTCATCAAGGCAGCAATCTCAGCTACAGCTTCTAAGTGATGTGCTAACACTAATAATGGCAACATCTGTCATCTCAATACCAGCACCTCATCTTTTATACAAGGCTGAAAGCTCTCCTGCACATAGTCAGTCCTAGCCAATCCTTATTGTCATTCCCTTCATCCTTGTGGAATAGCTCATTGTTTTCACAAGAAAGGTTACTTCTTTAGTCCTGCTAACCCAGGTTTTTAACCCTCTTCTGACCTTCTACCAGGACCACACAGATTTTGCCCCATGAGGATGGCAAGCATACTGAATTAGTAACTGGGCACAAATTCAAAGACCAAGCTAGCTTTGCATGCATTGGAGAATGACATTGCATCTAAAAAGGTCTGCAGATGGAACATGTCATCCTTCAGCTTAAATCAACAGCCAAGCCTGTTGGGAGAAGCACCTTCTAAAGGTTACATTTCTATACTAATATAATGGTTGCATTTGGGCTATAACTGGTATAGAGCCTAAGGGCATCATACAGGTTGGCTCTGTTCACAAGTCTAATGGATCTGAAAAGGGGCACGGTATGTTGTGAGACACAGAAAGGTATGTGTGGTAGCATTAAGAGGTTCACTGCATGGCATAAGTACAAAGTTGTATTAGTAATGGCTTTCCATTCCAAACTAGATGGACTGGCACAACTAAAATGTATGTGCTACAAAACAAGAGCGCCAGTACCACTAGCAGACATTAATTTAAAGGCACAATATGATCTTATTCCCAATCCCAACAATTGTACTCCTGCCATGCCACATGTACATGCCAGGATATGCAATTATAGGAGAGGGGATCAGATCCCAAATAGCACCCTACTTGCCACTGCAGGGGAAGCATGGGACCATGATCCTGGGTTCCCCCTGCCTGGCAAGTCGAAAGCTGGGTGCCTTGTGATCAGCTGAGTGTTGGCTGGAAGGACCACATTGGGACCTGTTCCAGCCCTGGTGCTGTCCCAATCCTGCTAACGATCAGCTGATTGTTGGCTGGATCAGTACTACATTGGGGCCAGTTCAAGCCCTCGTGCAGTCCCAATTCAGCCAATGATCTGATGATTTTCAGCTGGCAGGGACTGCACTGGGGCCAGTTCAATCTCCTATGGGGTCCTGATACTGCCAACAATCAGCTGATTGTTGGTTTGGATCACACTGAGGCTAGATGGAAACCCTGGTGCAGTCCTTACCCTGCAGCAGGTTCAGTTTATGGCACAATGGAAAGTAACTAAAAATATTGTACATTTTTTGTGCAATATTTTTGTTACTCGTTTCCCTTTGCATGGCTCCATTAATTTCCTGAACATGTGGCCGGATTACTACTTAAGACATGACTAACAGACTAATCACATCTTAAGTGTAATATTTGCCAGGGGCCATAGACAAACAGGAATAACATTCAAGGCACCTTCTAGCCCAACCTCAACCAGATTCTAGAGATTTAACATCTAAATACAGAAGGAAGTAAAAAAGTATATATCTCCTTAAGAGAACTAGTTTTATTTAATCAGAAGAATATTTGTTGTGCTTTAGAGTGGATTCATGCATGCCTGTTTGATGTTTCAGACATCACACAAGTATATATGTCAGTCAGCATAAGGAGGTTTTGTCTATGGCAGATGCATCAGAGTACTACCACAGTCCAAATAATAGAATCACAGATTTCATAGACATTAGGGCAGGAAGGGACCTTGGAAGATCATCGAGTCCAGCCCCCCACCCAAAGGGCAGGAAGTCAGCTGGGGTCATAGGATCCCAGCAAGTTAAGCATCCAATTTACTCCTGAAGGTGTTCAGCGTAGGTTCTTGAACCACCTCCGATGGCAGGCTGTTCCAGACCTTGGGGGCTCGGACAGTAAAGAAATTCTTCCTTATGTCCAGCCTGAAACGGTCTCGCAGAAGTTTATGACCGTTTGACCTCAACATCCCTTGGCGCACTCTGGTTAAAAAACGTTCTGCCAGATACTGGTGGTCACCCCTGATAAACTTACAGGTGGCCATCAGATCACCCCTGACCCTGCGCTTTTCCAGGCTAAAGACCCCCATGGCTCTCAGCCTGTCATCATAAGGTCTGTTTTCCTGACCTCTGATCATGCGTGTGGCTCTTCTCTGGACTCTCTCAAGCTTCTCCACATCCTTTTTGAATTGTGGGGCCCAAAACTGGATGCAATACTCCAGCTGTGGCCTCACCAAGGCTGAGTACAAGGGGAGAAT